AATTCAGCTTACCTGTAGTTAGGAGGAGTAGTCAAGATGTTTGTACTGTCCAGTCCATAAAAATTTTCGTGATATAATTGAGGTTTTAGCTATTTATAATTCAACAAATTATGAAAACTAGTAAAGGATCCTACAAAATACAAAGGCTATCTGAATCTGTACAGTAAAGCATGAAATAACTACCATTACTATTTACTTACAGACCTTCTAAGTTCGATGGTGCCATTAAGATTTTAGACACAAAAAAAAGTCCCAACACAGGAAAAAACGTTTCATTCTTTGCATCTATCTGTGCAATTAAGCAATTTGGTTTCCTTATGAGTGGAACATGAATATCTACGACTCCAGTGAATTCAGTGGTCAGCCAAATGTTTGGAAGTGTATGCATTTGATCTAAAGATGCCACTAGCATTCAAATAATCTGTCCCTTATAAGGACGTTTCTTCATTCACGGAAGCAGACAACAAGAAGCTGACAGCTGCATGAAACTTTACAGGTACTTTAGAAGATTTAACTGTTGCCTGGAGATAAATAGGACAATGATGAATAATCTGAGAGGTTTAGAAATGCAGAATCATTACCTCTGAGGCCTTCTGCAAGCTCCTTTTTCAAGTTGGTAGATAAAAGAAAGATCATTTATAAGTTATGGAATAGAATCAGCCTATCTCTGGACATTTGCAAGCTGTTCACTGACTAGATACAGATACATTTTTTCACATACTCCGTTGTGATATGAGAGGAAGTTCCTTCAAACTTCCCTTTTATCTTTTTTTTTAATGTAAGAAAATATAATTCTCTTGTAAGGTGAATCTTCGTCAGAAGATTTGCTAAAATGAGGACCTGGGTTGCGTGATATTTCTCATGTGCATCACATACTCTGTTGTGATACGAGAGGAAGTTCCTTGAAACTTCCCTTTTATCTTTTTTTTTTAATGTACGAAAATATAATTCACTTGTAAGGTGAATCTTCGTCAGAAGATTTGCTAAAATGAGGACCTGGGTTGCGTGATATTTCTCATGTGCATGAACAAACAGTTGCCTGTTTAGCTATTAAAACTCCGAGACATGTTTTACACAGTAATAAAAAGGAGTTATACTGTACTTGAACTCATTACTTCCTTCAGCTTCTTTGAAGTTTTTATGTTCATAGATGATTAAACTACTGTTAATACGCAAGTATTTTTATTTTAACCCCATAGCTAATATTTTCTTAGATTACTCAGGAATTTTTACATGAAAATGAAAAATTTGAACATAGATTTCTATACATTTGGACCTTAAATGTGATTTCAAATATGCTCAAAGGCCTAGTTAATCAAATTGTAGAAATTGGACTACAATGGCAAAAGACCAGAAATGGTTAGGACCGTAACATCGGGTTCTCAAAAGCAAAGGATGAGAAACATCTCAAGAAGGCAATCAGCACATCTAAAGTTACAAGCAAAAAGTACAATGAAATGTTTTCATGAGCTTATGAAGCAGCTTTTAATCGTGGCAATGGAAACCAAAAAGGTAAGCTTAACTGTGTTCACAGAAGGGATACGGAAGCCCATGGTCTGAACGCTTTTTGCTATTTTAATGTAATCTCTTGGTATTATCTTTTATTAATGTATATGGAAGCAAATACACAAAGAACCTTCTCAATTCGTGCTTACAAAATAAAGCTGCTTTTTCCACATATCAAGAGAATATAACATGTAAGAATGTCACATTAAGTCATGGCTTTTAAATGGTATAGAAGAGAAACATGAATCTCTTCTGAAAACATTTAGCACAGATGTGAAGGCATAGATATCTGACCGTCTATTAACAGCAGTTTCAGTAAGTGTGATGGAAAAAGCAAAACAAGGTTATGTTTTAACCTCTCTTTGCATGTGTAAGCATTTTCTGGAAGACGTGTATGGTCATCGGTTGTCCCTCACCAGTCCCTATGTCACAGAGAAGGTAAAAGACAGCATAAAGGACTGGGAGTAGGAAACAGGTAATTAGGGAAAGCAAGAGTATAAATATCAGGTAAAATGCATGTGTGTGTATATACATACATATCTCATAGGCACACACAAATACATACACGAACACACAAGAGACAGCAATTAACATGTTTAAATACCTGTGCACAAGGCAGCTGCGAAGCTGCACAAACCACAGCCAGTAACTGCTCACACTGAAAGTTGCTTGAAACTTTAGGGAAGTAATTAACCTTCTGGCCCCCAAGTTTTCAAGCCCGAGGAGCAGACCGTAGAATTTCTTTTACAATTTATGATCGAGCCAAGGAATTTATATCACAGTCAGAGGATTCTTTTGCTGAATTAACCCCAGCTCCCTCTGACCCTAAGAAGTCATAAACCCACAGGATACAGCACGGGGAGAATGTGCTATAGTGTTTCAGCTGACCTACAGAGCGCTGGCTCTTGTCATGCCCAGGCTGGAAGCCCAGATGATGGATTACAGAGCAATATGCCAGGTTCAGATGCAAACATCAACCCCTTCCCTCGATACATGCGCAAGCAGCCGTATTCACTCACCCTGAACCAGCTCGGTTTCTGCAAAACGCCAAGTACTGTTAGGGCTCATTTACAGAGTCTTACTCCAAGATAAAAGAGGGAAGAAAACAGCTTATGGAGGAAACACACATCTGTGAGTAGCAATATTTAAGAACACATGCTGTAAATAAATGTCAAAACTCGTTGAACTTCCTTTTTCAGATGCAAATTATTAAAGTATATAAAAAACACAATTCCAAAGCAGAATCAGGAGGGTACCCAAGAACCTCAACTCTCAGAAACAACAGCTTTGTAAATGAAAAAAGGCTAAAAATTGATACACAAGTCTTTTTCAAAGAGCTCCGCCTGGCTTTATTTTGTAAATACAGAATAAAGCCTCTTATATAAAGTAGCTAATAAAACAAAGTCTAGCTGACCATGTGCACAGAAAATGGGATAACACAAACATCTGCACCAGGACCTCAAACCTAATCAGCTGTAATCGCTAAGACATGAAGGTCCTCACAATATTTACGCTTAGGGTGTACTGCTTAGTTGCATCAAAAGCTTAGCACCAGCTGAAGGCTTATCCACAAAGATGAATCTTCTACTGAAAACAGACAGTGGCTGGTTGTTTCACTTCTAGCACAGAATGAAAACTGATACTTTGAAGTCTGACCAAAAAGAACCTCAAAAAACAAAACACAGGAGGGCACAGTTTGGAAACAATCAGTTCGAAACCACAGAATTTGATACCAAGAGCATGAAGTATTCAACACTACAATATTAGGAACCCAACATCCATCACTGAACAAAGTAAGTTTGTGGCTCTCCTGTTTCATGAATTTCTTACTGCTCTGAAAACCTCTGAAAAGCCGTCAAGAATTTTCATGATGCAGCAAACTTCATTCCTAAAAGCAATCAAACGTGTACTCAGCGTGTTTTGCACTGTTTGCAGATGACACAGATTCCCTTGCCCGGCTACCCTTCCTTTCTCTGGAAATGATGCAGGCTACTCCTCAGAAAGCCCTGCCTCCTCAGGCTCACTGAACACTGCACAAGAATTCCCTCCTGTGATTATTCTGCCTCTATTCTGATCATGAACAACTTGGCTGAAGTCTTCAGGCACAGCATAATTCAAAACCACTTCTCTGGAAGAACAACAGAAATGGCATTTTGCCATATAACTTAGTTTTTAAGGCACAAGTCACAACTTAGCAGCACCTCACCCCCCCCCCCCCCCCCCCTTTTTTTTTTTAATTCCACATTTCACCACTATAATCAATAAACGGTCAGGAATCATAACAGGACGACATAAAAAACAACCGTGAAAATGTTTTTCAGTTGATTCTCACAGGGATGGACGGGAACCACAAAACTGTCCGCCAAAAACGCGACTGACATCACAATAGCAGCTAGACTGGAAGAGTAAAGGATCAGAGTTCATTTATCATAGGCCATTATAAATTAATTCAGCAAGGCATTTTCCCAAATTATTCATTCTACAATGAGTGCCTCTACATTTTTAGGTAAAGGAAGAGGCCTTGCACGTTTCCTTCCTTGTGCAGTGTTATTCTTCCATAAATTGCGTTCACGCTGCATATACCAATAATTGCAACGTGTATCATCTCCTGGCAAGGTAGCTTCTCCCACTGTATTGAAATTACAAAAGTACTGGAAATCTTTGGTGGCTTTCTACTTGAAATAAGTCATTTCTTACTGTTCCTCACATAATAGCCGCTACAAATTTTGCAAGGCTCTACAGTCAAGGTTAGAACTCTCTGGTGTGGATTCATGAAACTCACTTTAGCCCAACTCCTAAATTTCAGAAAGTCTGCTGGAGAGAGCTGAAATATTAAACCTAACTGGTAGCAGTACATGCATGAGAAGCATTTTCATTCAGCTATAAAGCATTTTCCAAAAAGCTATCTGCCCTATCACCTTGAAAAACTACGGCCTTTCTACTCTATGCAACGTGACGTATAGCATGGATAATGCACAGCAAACATACTTAAAGTCTAAGAAAAGGACCTGTGAAATAAGTAAAAACAAAAACACCGCACTAGTGAAGGTAATAAAGCAGACTTGCCTGCAAAAAGAATTGGAATGTGAATCCAGAGATTTTAAGGAAGAACTAGAGTAACATTTGGATGTTCCTTTAAGCGTAACTCAGGCTAGAACATTCTAGTTTGGGTAACACGCAGTTTATGATAAGGTCAGAAGCTACGTTAATATGAAACCAGAGTTTCAAAACACATTAGCAGCCACAGAGATTAACTTACTCATACTAAATATACATAAAAATATTAAAATATATATGTACACAAATATTCATACATAATTACAGTTGAAAATAGAATCTGGTTTTACACATTAGGCACGTAAAATGTCTAAAAAAGATAATGTTACACTTATCTGTAAATTTGCATTTGTTTGTAGACAGACCAATTTTGGACAGACTTACAGATACTTTTTTATATACTTAGAAAGTGTTAATTACAATAAGCAACACTGTACCTGTATGGCTTCGAATGTGAACTCTCAGTGTTCCATTGCTTGCAAACTTCTGTCCACAGTACGGGCAAATCTTCTCTTTTTCTCCCGTGTGAGTCTACACAGGTGGGGAAAGACAAGAACGAAACCTTCAGCATAGGTTTAAAGGAAGTGAAATATGGAATATTCTAACTGTATTGACATTGACCACTACTATTTCCATTTTATATTTTATACCATCATATCAGGCAGAGATTCTAAGGAATTAGCTATATGTGTTCTTCCCATTTTTCTTTAAAACTTCTCAACAAATCTCATTATCAGTGGCAAAACATTTCCTAAACAGTTACAGTTAAAAATGTCCAATTTACCTCTGTGTATTTTTATGAATGCAAGTATAAGACACCTATTTTTCAGTTTGATATCTGTGATAGTGATTTCTAAAGCAACAAACAACAATGTGGTTACCTAATAAAATTCATCTTCATAAACGGGTCTATTTTTAAAAGTTTGTAATTTCACAGAATTTTATTACATTATGGAACGCAATGAAAAGAGGTTATCTAACTTAGTCTAACTTTTCCCATTGCCAACTGGAACTGGAGCTTTAAAAGGTCTCTGTGGAGGTTTGTACATATGATTTCTGTCTCCTATGAATGAAAGTCAGCCATCAGTTCATCTCCAGTATGACAGACAACAGTGCTTCAAAGGGCAAGTTCTCGGTGATTCCAGTCAACACCAGTTACAGACTGGATCCTATCCAGTTTGCAATAAAGGTTAGAATCAGACTGCATTTAGAGAACTCATCACTACGGGTATATTTTAATTGTCACTAAAGCTAAATCATACGCTGTGCCTGTCTTTGATACCATGCTTTTAAGGCTAAAGTGCCTTACTGATATTAAAAAAAAAAAAAAAAAATCGAAAAAGGCAGTCACAAGCTCTCCCACCCAACCTGTGTGGTCAATAGCAAGATCACCTTGAATTAAGTTACATACACGGGTTCTCATCATTTCTTCACACTGCACTTTCAACACCCAATTCTGAACTGAAGATTTATCAGCCTATTGAATAATTTTCCCTTCTAACTCTGATGACTCTGTTTTAAGTGGAAAATTTTTGGTTTCTTCATTTATAATTCTTAATTTAAATGGGAAAGGAAAGATAACACATCAGAGTATATGTACAGCCGACTGTTTGGGTTGCAAGTGTTACGTAGGACTCTGTTCAGATAGAGAAATTAGTTCTTATTTTTATGAAAGACACTGAAGTGACATATTCTTCATTACATCATAAAAAACCTTATCTCACATAGTAATTGTTATGCTGCAGATGAAGCAAGAGTACATAAGATATCGTTTCAATACTGGATGAAATACTTGCATAGTTTTCATTGCCTGACATCTGGGATATGAATGTTAAATCCCTTTTGATTAGGACAGGGTTCTTCAGAAATCACTTTTATCTCTAACAACAACAGTGGCAAATAGCAGACAGATAGCTATTAATTCATTCCCATCTCCCCCAAAATAAAAAAGAAAAAAAGAGAATTTCTGCACCACTACATTACAATTACAAGGCACTCAAACACACAGCTAGTCCCAGTGTGACAACACCACAAAGCAATAGCCATTACATTTAAGAAGGAATGTCAAAGAAAATAGGGATAAACAATAAACAGTAGCTGCTTTCCATTTAAATATCAATACATGTATGTAATATGGCCACTGTTAACATGAAATAGTAAGTGGTACTAAGCTTTCTGTAGAGGAAAAGTTTAAAAATTTATGCAGAACTCATCAACAATACAGGTAATATTTCTGATTTGGGATCTCACAATTCATTTTGGCAAGATCCTTCACAAAAAATTAATCTCAAATCAATGTATGAGTATTATAGGTTAAGTCAGTTACTCAAGGGAATAAAACAAGTAGATAAGGATGAAAAGGACTGTGTGCCTGAAAAGCAGTCTGTTCTTTCCAACCAAATCAATCAGAGTCTTGCTCCCCAAAAACAGAATCATCAGCAAACTGCAAGTTTTTTTGGTATGCCCTTTGTTCAGGCTTGAAAACCAAACGTACTTTATTCCTTCTAATTCTAAAAGAAATATAAGGGGCAAAAGGAAGAATATCCTATAATATAAAGTTCTCTCTCTATTAGAGCAGAACTCAAATTATTTCACCGGCCAAACAATTGATGAACCAGGTTATTTGAAACTCAGTCATCTTATATTACATGGACTGAGGTCTACCAACAAGACAACCTCAGCTTATTCCAGTTCTTCAAAAGTGCAGGTGTATCTGGGAGAAATACATCTTGTATGTCACTCAAACACAGGAAATTTTATTTTCCAGCAGTTGTAATTCCCTAAGTGAATTCAAGACAAGCAGCATTTAAAACAGACTGAAGGCAGACAGACAGCAAATGCATTAACATCCATTTAATGAAAGATCGAGACCTTCAAAAGCCCACAAAAGAAATCACCATAATCATGAGCTGAAAATATCATAGAATCATAGACTGGCCTAGGCTGGAAGGGACCTTAGAGATCATTTAATCCAACCTCCCTGTCGTGGGCAGGGACGCCTCTCAACTAGATCAGGCAACATATGGGGACCAAACGGGGATCGAACCCACGACCTTGGTGTTATCAGCACCACACTCAACCAACTGAGCTGATTGGCCCCCTAATCATACCAAGTACCTCAGTTACACTCAATTTTTGTTACGAACATAGATTCAGAGAACAATTTGGGTTGGAAGGGACCTCAAAGATCATCTAGTTCCATGGCAGGGACATTTCTCACTAGATCAGGTTGCTCAAAGCTCCATCCAACCCGGCCTTGGACACCTCCAGGGATGGAGCATCCACAGCCTCCCTGGGCAGCCTGTTCCAGTGCCTCACCACCCTCAGGGGTACGAACTGCTTCCTTATATCTAGTCTAAACCTACACTCTTCCAGCTTCAACATTTTACATACATATATAAAGTGCATACTACATGGCAAATAATGTAAATACGTTTTCAACAAACTCTCACGCCTGAGCTGATTACCCTCCGCTGATTTGTTCTTGATTCAATTCTTTTTTCACGTTGCTTCCCCGTAACGTAAATCTGACCTCAGGCCAAGCTAGCAAAGCAAACTTTCTTCCAAAGTTTACCCCAATTTCATAGCAAGAGCAGTGTAGCAAGGCCCATCCTGCCATACCCCTGATGCTGGTGTACCTACGCTGGATTTACACATAGGCGGCCTGCTGCAAATTCTGCACGCCACCAGTAATCCCGCTATTGCAATAAGCATTTTAGGATGTTAAGCACCATCACAGCTTTCTAATGACAAACCAGAAACGCAGAAGCATCTGGGATTTTACCTTTAGTCGTGGCCTTAAGGACACAGAAAGAACGAAAATGAAGAGAACTGATTCAACTCACTTTTTTGTGACTTTTCAGAACTGAGGGTGTCACAAAAGCTTTGTCACAGAGATCACACTTGTATTTCTTGTGTCCATCATGCACAACTTGAATATGAACGTTTAATGTGTCCTTTCTTTTGAAAGTAGCATCACAGTGATCACACTTGAAGGTCCTCTCACCTTATAAAGAGAAAAACAAGGGTTTAAGATACCAAATTCTTTTGGAAATACACTAATACTTATTGTTTCAGAAAAGTGAATAAAACCAGCAAAGACAACTGAAAAGCAGAGTCCTGAGAACACAAAGAAAAAAAAATCACATGAGGTGAAAATGTCATTTGGAAGTTAAGAAAGTAATCATGGCACAATGTAGCCAGAAATGGCAAATGCAATTCTCCCCCTATTTAGATAAAAAGGTGAAATGGAAAACAATGGAAAGGGCTTCCAGTGAACTGGAGCACAGGTTTTACAAACTCCTCCGGTAACAGACTCCCTGTATGGTAACAAGCAAAAAGATGAAATAGGCTTCACCTTTTGAAACTTACATTGTAAGTTATAGCTTCCTGAAATTAAATGAATTTTCAGACCAAAAAGTACTTGCTTTGAATATCCTATCTCATTCAAATTAGCAAAGGCAAACTCACGTGACAAGGTTTAAGTCTTACAGCAATGCTGCTATTCCAGCTGTGGTGATATCATTGAAGGTTATAGCAGAGGCCACATTAATATTGCTAAGAGTTTTAAATTCAATTAATTACCTAAGGGAGGTGAAGAGACATTGTATTCTGAAAACCTGCATACATCTTTTGAGACAGAAAAAGAGATGGGATTCTTGAGAGAAATCATTACAATGAACCTCCTTTTTACCATATGGGGATACTGAAAGTAAAAAATATGTAAGAAGTTTCAAGGTTCATAATTTTTTCTTTCCTACAAGACAGAACAGTAAAGTCCAGAGACTCTGGTTTGTTTCTCTCCTTTCTTTATAGAATATCCAGAATATAGAATATTTCAGCAGTACACTGCCTGTACTTCTGAGTTATTTCAAATATGAGACATTATCGCGGCAGTCCAAGCTGTCAGTCGCAGAGTTATGTCATGAGGGGAAGAGTTCTACATTTCTCCGCTGAGGACACAAGCTCTTCTCAGACAACAGCAGAGCTTCTTGTTTTTATCACAGCCTTGAATTGAAAAATGTTTATTCTTCAGTTCATCCCAGTAATGACTTTCACTTTGCTACTGGTCTGTCTTTAATGGGGCTACGGACAAGAGAGACACCGTATGACTACACAAGCCTTGCTTACGTTCTGCTGTACTAAGGCCTTCTTGTTAAGTTAGTCCGTTGTGGTATTTTTCCCACAAGGTCAGAAAAAAAATGTTTAAAAATCGTGCCTGTGATTAATTAGAACACGAAATAGTATTGGTTGAAGGCTTTGATTCATTTTGGAGACTATTTTAGCTAAGGTGGCAGAAGCTACCACATTCAGACACCCACCCTCTCCCTCAGCAAGTCGTGTCATCTTTTGCACCAAGGAAGACTGACTAGACCACACCTGTGCCACTGCACTTCACCGGCTGATACCTTGAATATTTCCTTAAACAGTGGTGGTTCAGGAACACTTAAACCTGCCACAAATCACAACTCTAACTCAAAGATCTCAAATTTCCCGAGCTCTCATCCTATTAAAAAAAACCCCAAAACTCTATGTTTTTACCAAGGCCTACAGTTCTGTGTACTGTATATTACTGCTTTTGGATACTCTGCAAATGCTTGGTTCATTAGAATACACATTACTGAGCAGGTTTTGAACACTTTCCCCTCATTATTTTTAACTTTTAACACTGGAAGGTTTTACAGTACTTGATGAAATTGCAGAAGTTTTGAAAGCTAATTGTAAAATGAACACTCCAGTCTAATCATCTAACAGAAACACTGTTATATGAGATTAGAAAAAAGAAAAAGGTTTGTGGTTTTCTTAAATGTTCCCCAACATATTCCCCAAATCAAAGTACTGTCTTCTAAGCTGCAAGGATTTTTAGATCATGAGTATTTTCTAAAATCTAAACTGCTGACATTCACAAGGTTGAATGGTTGTCTAGTGCTCTATAAATATTAAAGATGGAGAAAATTCCACCAAAAATAAATCTTTACCCAGTCAGTTAAACAGTACAGAATGCCAAGAACAAGCTTCCCTCACGAGGAAAAATGGCCACGGCATTTTTCTGGACTGCTAGTTCTATGCCAGCAGCAGGAAACGTTACCTCAGGCCAGCACAGGATAGAGAACCTCAGTTTCAAGTTTTAAATCTGACTACCTACAAAAACTGAGTAAGCCACCAAGTTATCTCTGCTTTCATTTCTCCTTTCTTAACATGGAGGTTAGGCTATCACAGATAACACTTGTCATCAGATCTCAACAAATTGTTAGATTTTCTACAGCATATTTGGATTTGCGTTGAAGTGCATTTAATGAAAAGGTTTGAATTTGGCTCTGAACTTTCTAACTCCCTGGGGTTAGAGTTGAATCCTGATACTCAGTATAGCAAGGTACCACATGTCTGTTTTTCTCAGTCAAATGTGAGAAGCGAGGAAGTTGTTTTTCCTCTCTGACTTAGCACTTACTGTTGTGGATTAACAGATGTCTTTGTAGAGAGAATGGGGTCCGAAACAGGGCTTTGCATTCCTCACACTGGAACGGTCTCTCTTCGGAATGGGTCTGCAGATGAAAGACAACATGTCAGAGGAAAGGCTCAGGTAAATCAATTAGCTGTCATTATAGTAATTATAGCTAATTTCCTAGACTGGATTCAGGAGGGAATACCAGCAATTTGAAACATGAGGGGATGAAGAATTCAAACATTCTGCCATTATCCAGAATCCTTAAAGTCAGCACAGTAGCTACTGAATGAATGTATTCTCGTAATCCTCAGATGTGTCACATGAGGTGTGCAGATAAACACAAACAAAAACAGAGAACAACTGGGAGAAAAAAACCCACAAGCTCAGTTGAGTTGCTTCATCAGTACCAACACTGGTCTCAAGTATTTACTAATATAAATAAATGTTTTAAAGTTAAACACATGTACACAAATCCCTTTCTCACTATAAGTTTGAAGGTTAAATGGTTCTAGTTATCTCAACGGAGTATCTAAAACTTGGCCAAGAAATTTTCTCAAATTGTGAGACTATTCTTACATATCCTTGTTCTAGCTTCTTTAAAAAAAATAAAAGCCAATAAAAATCCCAGAAACAAACAAGCAAAGCCTCACTACCATAAAAGCACCAGTACCAAGATTTTAGTTTGCTACATAAAAATTCGTCATAGCTGAAAAACAGCCTCAAAGTCAAAAACAAAATAAAAGGCTAAGCTTGGATAAATCTCTCCAACTGCAGGGTTGCTGAAGCAGATTTCTTTGCTGGAGCTTGGGAAACTTCCAGCTTTTCTACTTCTTAAATTTCAAACCACTTTCCCTGTTTCCTAGCGTTATTAAGTGCTGTCCCACTGTAGATAGTAAATTAACCCACACAGTTTATTATCTATCCAATTTCCTATTATTTTTACAAAGGAAAGCAAGTTTTTAAAGTATCAGTGTTTAAACATTGTATTAGCTCACAAGGACCTTAAATAGAAGCTGTAGTGCCAAAAGGAAAAGGGCATGGACAGCAAGCGCTTTATAACATGCATGAAATCAGGTAAACGACTTAATTTTATAGACTAAGAGTAAATATTAGCATAGTGTATATTTATAAAATCCATTTCTGCTATTCATAATACCGTATGACATTTAGAGCTATCCCTTAAACTACTGAGGAAAAAAAAAGGGACTGCATGGCGCCAGCATAATTATTTAAATATAGACTGATGGCCTTGAACCAAGATCGATTTTAACACAAATGCCCCCTTACATGCACGAAAGTACCAAAATATGACGATACTTGCAAAGGTATCATAGAGGCTTTGGATTCAAAGTCAATTCCTTAATCTCAGCCTATGTCACACTTGAAGCTAAAAGGCAATCAGAGCACCATCAAACGTGTGCAGCACATCACACATTACAGCAAATGTGCTGACTGTTTCAGCCCTGCTTCTACAGGTTTACATCCCAGTTTGCACGAGTTGACCCCCCTGCTTGACGGTTTTAACAGTCAGGCCAACGATTGACAGGACATGAAGAGACTGAACTACCTTCTCACCTCAACAGGTGGTTCCTCCAGAACAGGGCTGAGACACAGGGACGAGACACTGTGGGGAAGCTCGCAGTGCTGCTGTCTGTGCTGTACCTGTTCTGTGGATAAATAGAAGGGTTCAGTCTCTAGGGCTGTCAATCTGGCACCTTTCACGAGCGCAAAATTCACATTGTTTGGTTTAAAAACACCCTAGTTTAGAACACTCACCACTTGAGTGATAGTTCTGAAGAGCACAGTGTTTCGTATACAATTCTTTCTTAGCATCGCCTTGACAGCTCTCCCAGTCTTTTTGATCGAAATACAAATATTCACAGAATCACAGAATATTAGGGG